ACGTCTGAAAGCCTCCTGCAATGGTTGCGACGAAGGTGCGGCTGTAGGTGGCTGGTAGTATGATGTAATAGGCGGGACGGGTGGTGGTCGGCGGACAGCGTCAACGTAACTCAGTTGACACTGATCGCGACCGAGATCAGCTGCTGAAAAAACGTGCCTAAGTTCGTCACGAACGACTGCGGCAACGGCGGTCACTGGTGCATCCACTGGAGGAGTCCAAAGCTTCTGAATTTCTTCGCGGACGATATCTCTGATAAGGTCACGTAGGGAGCCCTAATTGTCCAGAGTCACTGAAGCGGCGTTGATTGGGGTGGTAGTGGACGAGCGATCATATTGGCTCGATCTTTGGTGCAGAACGCGCTCAATGGCAGTGGCTTCTCTTATAAAATCGGCCATGGTAGTTGGGGCATTGCGCACAAGTCCAGCGAACAGTTGTTCTTTCACGCCGCGCATAAGGTAGTGCAACTTCTTCTCCTCGGACATGTTGGGATCAGCCCGACGACAGAGGCGCGTCACGTCTTCAGCAAACCCTGCCACAGTTTCGTTAGGTTTTTGAAGCCTTAACTCGAGCAACTGCTGAGCCCGCTCTCGACGGTCGACGCTAGCAAAGGTGTCAATCAGCTGCTGACGAAAGTCATCCCATGTGGATATACGGCCTTCTCGATTCTCAAGCCACGTGTGAGCGCCATCATCGAGAGTGAAATACGTGCGGGCGAGCTTCTGTTGAGCATTCCACTGGTTGATATCGGCAACGCGTTCGTAATGCTCAAGTCAATCTTCAACATCTTCGTGTGGGGCACCACTGAAGCGATCAGGCACAAGTGGCTGAAGAAGTGTTACCTGGGCTGGATTGGAAACGGGACTGCCTTGTATCCCTTGGACCAACTGTGGCTGGCTAGCGGAGGCCATTGGTAGAGGTACGTAATGACTGGTAGAATGTTCGTCGAAGGAGGTCAGCTCAGGAGATAGGCCTAGCAACCGCCGACTGAAGCGGTGCACTGGTGTCGTAACAGGTGGCTGCGTGTCGGGACTTGATGAACGGCTTCAGATGGGGTGTTGAGCATCGGCAGGCTTGCTACCCAGCACCTCCACCAGTGTCGCGGTTCAACGTAAGCAGTGCACCGAGACGTTGAGTCCGAGAACCGACAGCGTGTGTTTTTATGCAGGAGCCAAGAGCAGGCGAGCAAAACAAAAGCACGTCGTCTTCTTCAGTCCCCCTTTTCACGAGGCTGTTGGCGTGCACATCGTCTTCGTTCTTTGTTTCGGGCGCGGCAATATGTAGGGTTTAATGTCCCAAAACCACCATATGATTATAAGATACGCCCTAGTGGAGGACACCGGAAATTTCGACCACCTGGGGTTCTTTAACGTGCACCCAAATCTGAGCACATGGGCCTACAACATTTCCGCCTCCATCGGAAATGCAGCCGCTGCAGCCGAGATTCGATTCTGCGACCTGCGGGTCAGCAGCCGAGTACCTTAGCCACTGGACCACCGCAGCGGGGCTTCCATTGCTATTACTTTACTTGCGTTTGTTAAAGAACTGCCGGACGCTGCGTTGTGCACGGCTAACTTTTGTGACAGGACGAACAAACTTTTCAATGCATTAAACAGTTCAAGCGCAAAGAAGAACGCTTAGGAGTTGAGGTATGCTATTCTCAAAGGGCAATCTGAAGTGTATGACTTCCTTGAGGCAGCTGTTCCATGGATTGCTACTAGGAACGTTGAAGGCAGGCGGCAGCCGCATAAACCATTTTATGGCAGGTGACCATAAAAGCAATCCCGATGCTTTGGGAAGAGCCCTCAAATAAGAAAAGCTTCAGCTTTCTCCTTAGCAGGCGACTTCAGCAGGACCCTTTAAAAAAACATGTTTGGAAGTATTAGACAAAGGGGAGGGCATGCCACTTAAACCCAACTGTTCCCCATTTCATATGTGGTCTAAAGCACATAACAATCCTAAAAATAATGAAACTTTTAGATAAAGGAAATGTTGAGGAGGACAAATGTGTACTTCTTCAAGAGCTCTCGCCATTTTCACTGCACAAGCTGTCGCTTGCAGATCATTTTCAGCTGCCTTGCTCAGACGACTTCCCTTCACTTGAGAGTATCAGCCTGCTAGCTTTACTGAAGCAGTTGCATCCTGTCGATAATGCAGCACCCTATTATGCCGCGGGGTTTCTCATTAAGAAGTTTCTTGAGAAGTGTCCGGGGGACTGCCATTGTTCGGCATTTCTGAAGGATGATCAAAACCAATTACAGCAAAACTACCAGCATTTCACTATGTTGAAAGCTTATCATGTGCTAGAGAGCTGTATGCAAATTGAACTGCTCTATCTGCCAGTGCATTTCAGATGTTCCACGAAATGGAATCTGCCTTTTTTTTCAACTGTTGAAAGGGTGGCTAATTGTCATGGTGTCTGCTCAACCTTGTCCGATAAACTGTCACTCATGAGTTTTCAACTTTGTTCAGTGGATTGCCGTGACAGGTTCCTGAAAATTTATTGTACAATACGCTTGTGCTGGCATGTCAGGTATGTTAACCGCAACTTGGACAAAGTCAGATTTCAATCCTCGGTTTCTGCCTTGCAGCTCGACAAGCTTAAAGCATAGATATGGTGCTTCATGTGAAAAAAAAAACGAAACGTAAAGGATGCGAAAACCTCCCAGCATTACGTTAGTGTGAGATGATAAAATTGCCAGGTTACTGTGCAAAAGATTGATTAAAATGTGGGGTTTAACGTCCTAAAACTACCATATGAATACGAAAGGCGTTCTAGCAGAGGGCTTTGGAAATTTCGATTTTCTGGGGTTCTTTAACGTACATCGTGATCTCAGAACATGAGCCTACAGCATTTTCGCCACCATCGAAACTGCAGCCGCCGAAGCCTGGATCCCATCCCGCGACCTGTGGGTCAGCAGCCAAGTACCTTAGCAACTAGACCACCACGGCGGGAACTATTATTTTAAGGGAGAGGGGAAATATGATCTGCTTTGAACTCTGCTTGATCACTACTTGTACGTGGCGGAAATAGAGCTGCCAGGCTGAAGCAGTGATAAATGTTGTAACTAGTGAAATGTCAGTGCGTAAACTAAAGTTGCTGTGCTTTGATAAAAGTTCTAAGTGAAAGGCCCGGGTCTTGTGTTGTTTCTATAATGACACTATCAATGTGGCTGGGACACTTCTGTTAAACTGGGTTATAGATGCGTATTGAAGCATAGCTGTGGCTTGCTTCTTGCATTGTAGGTGTAGCTGTGTTTGGCTGACAACTGTAGTAAGCAGCTTTTATTTCTGTTCGCTATGCATCCCTAAAGTACTACCTAATGAGAAAGACTAGCCTTCAAAAGACTACTGTTGTATTCCTCTTCAAATACTGTCTTCTGCACTTTTACTGTTTTGCAGAATTTTTCTTAATATTGCCCATTTATTTGTTTACACTGTAGAACTTGTTTTAAACATATTGCAGCACTTGTCGCCATTCTATGTATTGTGTCGTGCACTGATAATTTGCTTGCGCTCATAGGCATCCGACACTGGACCAGAGGGTGCGACGGAGCTCTTTTGGGCAGCATCAACGTTGTTACCAACCGCCAGGAATATTATGAAAATAAAACTCTTGCTGAACACATCGAAATGCTGGTGTTAGTGCTCTTTTTGGCACGTTTTCAAAGAACGCTTCCTGGGCGCTTCCATAATCGCGCCTGACCCCTTGTTGACAACTAAAAAAGAAATGTATCCTGGCAAGTCCGCTTTTGCTGCGTCTAATCCCTAGGATATGCAATGGCGGGCCCAGTTTTGCTGTGTCTACTCGCTAAGCTGTGTGTTCTGGTGCTACCATCGTTTCTTGCAAACTGCTTCGCCTGGTGCCTATTGAGAACGTGACTATGCGTGACTTGACAAAAAAAAAAAAAACTTTCGTCTCTTCTTATGCTTGTCTTGTTTATTCAAAACGTCTGCATTAACACAAAGTAGTTGTAGCTCTGGAGGCTATACACAAAGCTGCTCGCTGCATGCAAGCAGCGAGTTAAAAAAAACAAAAACTTATCGTCTTCGAGACAACCACATGCACTGATGTAGTCTCGAATGCCGTGTAATTTTTCTAATCGCTATAAAATGGCTTTCGAGACGGTCCTTTTTGCGATCTGCCATCTCTGAGGCTCTGAAGGCTTCCAACATTTGTTTGGAGCGCTGCGAACCCAATTCAGTAACAGGAGCCTGTAGAAGTGTCCTCTCTTAACCTTTTATATTACTGTGACGTAGGCTTGAGAATATTCCGGGATGTTTACGATGTGGGCGTAATCTTAACAAAATGATCTACAATAATTGTCAACCTTCTAGAACAGTAAGGTGCAGTTTGCGCTGAGCATTCCAGACAGGCTTTGTGTGCGAAAACCAAATGAAACATAAGTGTAAATAAGAAAAGCACGTGGCAATATTAAATCCGATAAGGAATAACAGCTTCGGCACTCGCATTTCGCCGCATATTGGCACGGTCCACTGTACGTGCACGCATTATGCAGGAACATCAGCTGTTCATGAATTTCACTGCTCAGAGTGCAGCGTTGTTCACGCAGTCAGCATTGCACTTCAGAACGGGCAAGAAGCATATGATAAATGAGTGTGTTACCACTATAAAAATAAAAAAAATGGAAGGAAGCTACACAATTGCTGCTCTTTGCTACAGTGGTGACATGTGCTTTGTAGTGCGCTGCAAGCTTGCACATGGGTAGTTTTGCTCATATGTTGCACTTCTGTTCGCAATACCTTCGTTTTTTTTTTTTTTTTAATTCTGGCCAGCGCTACAGTGATGGTGTGTTAAAATACTAGCCTTATACTAGCTGCGTTAGAAGCATCTGACTGTTCTGTAGAGTACCTGATTTCGATGCTGCGTAGTGATATCTGTGTACACGTGTTTTCATCATGGTGCTCATGTATATGCACTGCATATACATGAGCACCATACAATGGGGAAAGTGGAGAATACACACAAAACATAACGTACCTGAACGTTCATGCTTGGATACTATTTTGCAGTCCCACATTTCTTTTTTTAACACGGAAGTTCTTATACCAAGGTCCACCACAGCTTCGTTGACCTATTCCCGTCACGGATATGACATTGTGAAATCTATAATAACAGACTGCAAAGAAAAAAAAACAAAAGAGAAACGTTCTGTCGTGGGGCGCCAAACCAGGGACTTCTCCTACCACAGCTGACAGCGCCAACAACTAGGCCACACAGCAGAGCGTACTGTGTAGAGTGTTAGCCGCAAATCATTTATAGTCGCAACTCCAGAAAACGCTGCGTGAGTGGGCAACACTGATTGAAAAAACAAAGGTGGCTACGCTGAACGCTGTCAACACGGCCCTTTCGCTTGATGCTGTACGTAAGTTTGTTGATTGTGGTGTCGGATGGCGTAATTTTATTCTCGTTCGCATTGACCGCATCATTCTCATCGGCATAAAGGATTTCACTGGCGATCTCGCCGCGGTGGTCTAGTGGCTAAGATACTCAGCTGCTGACCCGCAGGTTGCGAGATAAAATCCCAGCTGCGGCGACTGCTTTTTCGATGGAGGTGAAAATGCTGTCGGCCCGTGTGCTCAAATTTTGGTGCACAAAAAAGAAACCGAAGTGTTCAAAATTTTCGGAGCCCTTCACAACGACGTCTCTCGAAATCATAAGGTGGTTTTAAAACTTTAAACTCCACATATCAAATGAAATCGATATTACTGATGAAACAGCGGAAATATTTGTGCTTTGCACGCAGACATTGAACTTCTTGAGCGAACTGAATCAGATTTACCTCAAGTTAAAGAGCCTGCCTAGCGAGCCCTAGGTTGAAAAAGGCAAATGTTCATGAGTAGCGAGCTTCTCCGAATGGTGCTAGCACTTTTGACCCGCATTGTTACACTGCTACAGGCAAGGTCTTGACAGCAACTACGCTGCAATTTGCGCTGCGGATTGCATGTATTTCATTGAGTTCTGTTGTCCCATCGAAAGCTGAATACGCATGCTGTTCAGTGAATCACAAAACGGAGCTAAGCCTGAACCAGTGTATCTTGAGCTAAGGAAAATCGTAGTTTCAATTGTAATAGTAGTGCTCCTTTCTTTTTGTTTGCCAATCTATCTAATTAGATTTCTAATGAATAAGGTCATGTGGTCCCCAACATTCACTTGTCAAACAAGTGTAGGCAGTAGTTGATAATCAAAGAAGATATATGCACGCACACTACCGACGCTACGAATGCATGGACCTGATAAATATATGCACGAACATACATGCACGCGACCATCGCACGTGCATTTCTGTGCATGTATGTACACACCCATGCGAAATAAAAAAATGACTGCAGCCTAATTTCAAAATGGGTAGCACTACGATTTGCAGAGAAAAGAAGCATATGCGAAAAATACACTCGCACACATAACTCAACAAGTTTTGATTGATTGATATGTGGGGTTTAACATCCCAAAACCACTACATGATTATGAGAGACGCCGTAGTGGAGGGCTCCGGAAATTTAGACCACCTGGGGTTCTTTAACGTGCACCCAAATTTGAGTACACGGGCCTACAACATTTCCGCCTCCATCGGAAATGCAGCCGCCGCAGCCGGGGTTCGAACCCGCGCCCTGCGGGTCAGCAGCCGAGTACCATAGCCACTAGACCACCGCGGCGGGGCACTCAACAAGTTTTCTAAAGCACTTGTTTATATAAACAAACTATGCTCCGTGCTTAGAGAAGCCCGAATATTGATAAGAATGTACACGCGCTACATAATGGTGTACCAACTGAAGAGAATTAGGTTATCGTGGGCGAATTAATTAGAAAAAACTACCGTAGTGTCCAGCATCTCCTTTCCAATGCACCATTCTCCATCGCACGTTGTCTGCAACTTTCGAAAAGTGATAGAATGATATGTTGCCATTTTGCCACCGCAATGCCAAGCATTGCAGCATACTTCAATGGCCTTTCGACATCGCTTCCTTCTTTTTCGGGCTCTCGAGTGCAGCATGCTGAAAAATGGCAGTGGCTTAGCTCAGCTATACCAGGATATACGTAGCGTTAGCAAAGGTTCAGCTGATTATTCTTAGCTTTTCAGATATCATGGTTACAGCTGTTCCAATGACACACACACGGTATACGTATTATGTGGCACTTGTATATTTATTTTGCCGGGCAACTACTTCGGGATTTGATGAGCTAAGCTTCTCCGCTCTACTGCACCGTTGAGCAGCATTTGCACTCTCCTTCTTCATGGTTATACCACAGTGGCAAACCCCAGTCAGAGGCGCTATCAAGTAGCTCCAGCGCAGTGTCAGATGGCGACTGCACTGGAAAGGCACGCACGTCGGCGTCCATATGTCTACCAAGGCTATGACGGCCCTTTTCGGGAAAGTTCACACCGGCGGGGGCGAGTCGCGCGTGGCCAAGTGCGAGGGGGGTGCCGGCTCCAGTGCGTGACACCACTGATCGTCTGCGCAGCGCATCGTATTGCGCGCAATTGGAGGCGAGCCGCGCGCGACGGCAGTGGCGGAGTATCATTGTGCATGCGCAGACCAGTGCCACGCGAAATTGGCTCAGCGAGGCCAGTGTAGCTAACGCTACAAAATAAAGGAACTATGCTGCCACATCTCTGCGTGCGCAACATGGTGACAGGTCCTTTCAAGGTTGACGCTGTTAGTGCCGTTTCCAGGCGCGGCCGCCAGGTGGCTAGCGTTTAGTAGGAGTTGTGAATACACCACAGACCCTTTGGCGGTCCTCAGAGCTTCGACATTTCTGCGCGTTTTCATCATCAGTAGAGAGATGGCACCAAGGGCGCGCGTTGGGCTCGCTCTGAAAGTCGTCCTTTTTTACGTTTAGAATAGCGCCACCTCCACGGAACATTGTCTCTCCTGCGCTCACTTATCAAACTCGTGATTGGGGAGAGCACAAAGGTCACTCAGTTCCTGGCGCATTTGTCAAAGGATAAGGATAAAAACATTTCATTATGAAATTTCAAAGAAAACGGGGCGGGTGCCTATCCCAAGACACTTATGGTAACCTCTGCGACAGCTCAAGCTCCCAGATTGAGTGCCCCGCAGACCTCGGGGGTGCTGTCGAAAAGGGTGCCTTCTCACTGTTCTGGGGTGCGGGTGGACCAATGAATTGAAGGGAGGGGACGCTAGAAAGGGACTGACAAAGCGGAAGCTTTAGCACAATAAGCAGTATGTGTGACATAAAACATGTCATGAAATACTGCGTGTGTAACACATGTGTGGTGTACGTGATTCTCTTAAGTTGTGACACGTTTTACGTTGGACAATCTGGCCGATGCGTCAATGTTCAGCTGAAGGAGCACGAAAACCTTCTACCCTCGGGCACTGGTGGTAACTTGCTGTTCCACTGCAAGTCGTGTGGTTGTACGCCCCTTTTTGATAAGGTGGCAATTTTAGGTAAGGCTATGACACAGTGTGAATGGGAGATTATTGAGGCATTCCATATCTGGAAGCCAGGCCCTAACAAATGTGTTAGCGCAGCTTCAGTTTATCTCACCAGGAAAGAATGTTTGTTTCTAGCAAACAGGTGATTTGCCTAGATTAGCTTGCTTGGTGTGTTGATTTGTTATCTGCGCATGCATTGTACAGACTTGGGAGGAAAGTTTTTTCCGAAATAAACGTTAGTTGTTAGTGTCACATCTCTGCTCTTCGTCTCTGTTCCTGCTGCACTGCTTTTTCCAATTTCGGCATTTTGTGGCTTTTGCTGTTTACTAAGTATGTACCAACTTGCCCAATAAATAACTCTCCTGTTCCGCTTTGTTAGCGCAAGTGTAACTGTTTGTATGTTTGCGTAGCACTGTCTACATAAGCATTTGGCCTTGACTGGCTGTATATACACAGCAATAAGATCAGGTTGGTCACTTTCCAAGAGTTCTGTGTACCGTTCTCATAGCCTTCGTTTACCACAAATCGGTGTAGGTGCAGCTTTGTAGTTGAAGTACATCGTAATGAGCACTTGGCATCCTCCCAAGCATAAGGATAATTATACATTCTGTTGATGCAGCCTCTTAGCAACTCAGTAATAAACGAAGTTTTGCCTTGTTGTTTTATGTTTAGCTGCTATTGCTTATCGATTATGGGACAATCCTTAAATGTGCTTGAGATACCCATTTATAGCATGGTCCTCATTTCACTATAGCAAAATATTTGTCTAATATATTCTGACACATCGGTATTTAAATTGTCCCTTCAAATAAACAGAAAATGGAATGACATGTTGTTGCTTACAACTTGAGTCACCATGCATAATTTTAATATTGAGTGAAATTTATGCAGGCACCCGTGGGCTAAGATTACGGTTCCGGACGGTCATAATGAATCCAGACGGCAAGCCTCAATAATTTTTATTTACACGAATATGGCGTTTATGTCGTATAATTTCACGCAAAATGACATCCTTTTTTTTTGTCTACATTAAATTGAGCATTTTTGGGGCGTTGTTATAGACTAACGGAAAGAGCGGACATCATTTGCATAAAAAAAAAAAAACTTATCCTTTCGAATAACCCAACCTTGGTTGCATCACTAATGCGGATAATCAATCAAAGAAAGCTGCGCGCTTAGCAGTTACCTTTTTATGCCGTAATTGGAGTACAAGTGAGTGCCTCTGAGCATTTGTGAATAAACTTGTCAACTGTACATTCATTTCATAAAGAACTGAAAGAGAAAAAAAATTTAGATGCTTATTAGCGGTTATATTATTTAATTACCCAAGAATATGAGATTCCTTGCTTTTTCTCGACCAGCATCCATGAAGGAAAGAATGAATACAGTCGTTCTGCAGCAGTGCGAATATATTTCGAAAAGTTGATTCGAGCGCGAAAACTTGACACGATCACACACACGCACACACCCATGCATCAAACACACCTAGCGCTCACTTCCAAGTAATTTATTCATAGCTCGAAGGCTTGAATATAATGATATGTGGGGTTTAACCTCCCAAAACCACTTCATGATTATGGGCTTGAATATATACAGGACATATTGTGCGCACACACACCATAAAAGGCCAACAGCATACATTATCAATACGTACACTTAACCAATGGCATAGTCTCAGAGCGATAAACTGAAGTTCGCTTGGTAACAACGAAATTGAAGGCGCTCACACAGTGGTCTTTAT